AATGGCGGGTTTCGCGATGTCCGTGTTGTTGGTGCTGTTGGTGGTGCATCCTGATGCGTCATCCGGCAGGTGTGTCGTCCAAGATGGCCGCCTGCATTGTGCGGAGGCGTGCGACACGGATGCGGTTCGTGCGGCGGATTTCGACGGCAGGATCGTCTTGACGGGCCGAGTTCTTGACTTCGGTTGTCTAGACTTCTTCGGCATAACGGTTGGTGGATGAAGACTGGTTTTTGAGTTGTGTTTCATCTTGTTTTTTGATGATGCAGAAAGTTGAACTGTTGGTTCCGACTCGTTGTGAGGGGGTTTTTCGTGCTTCGTTGGTCGATCCGGTGGACTTCTGCATGACTGTGACTGGTTTTTGAGTTGTGTTTCATCTTGTTTTTTGATGATGCAGAAAGTTGAACTGTTGGCTCCGACTCGTTGCGAGGGGGTTTTTCGTGCTTCGTTGGTCGATCCGGTGGACTTCTGCATGACTGGGCAGACTACGACGAAGTTACCATCTTCTTTTTTTTGATGATGCAGAAAGTTGAACTGTTGGCTCCGACTCGTTGCGAGGGGGTTTTTCGTGCTTCGTTGGTCGATCCGGTGGACTTCTGCATGACTGGGCAGACTACGACGAAGTTACTATCTTCTCCATCACTTTCCACGCATGCTCCGAGTTCGTCAACGATGAGTCCTGTTGCATCGACGGAGCCGGTTACGTCAACGACGGCGGCTTCTTTCACTTCTTCAAGCTGCCCCCGCGGTAGACAGCAGTGAAGGCCCCTGTGGCACCAGTGTGTCCCGGGGAAATGTCGAAGCAGACAACCTCAGTCATACAACTGCTGCAAGTACTGACTTTACTGTTTTGTCTGATGCCCCGCTCCTAGTAAGAGCTTCCATTAGAACTTCCAACGAGTTTTTTGAACAAAATACGTTGTTTTCTAGTGACGACCAAGCCTTCCATCATTGTTTCGGTGTTAAAGAACCTTCCTGAAACCCGAATTCACTCTGGGGATCATGCAAACATCACTCTAACGGTAGTAGAAGGAAAAGCGGTCTTGGGCGCGGAGTTTGCTACCGAACTCTTTTCTAATTGGGCCATTGGGCTAATTAGTGGTCTTGGCGTGACGGTGTTTGGTTTGGCTGCTGGTTGGATGGCCTGGTGTTTGAGAAAAAAGGTAATTTGTTGTTTTTCTTACGCATCTCTGTCACCTTTTAAACACCTCGTTGCATGATATCGCCATTTTAACCAACCTTTAACTACTAACAGTATTGCCCAAATCTTTGTCAACGTAAAGTTTCAACCCAGTCTAAACAAAGCATCGAAGAAATCGAAATGAAAGATTTGTCTCTTGGACCTGTAGTAGTGCGTGAGACTGCTGTTAACGAGATTCATGATGGATTTGCAACCATTAGATCACGCATACCTCGCATGACGACCTTCAAACCTAGTAAGACTTAACTGCGAGAAAAGGAACCTTTCCTGCATGATAGCATGTCTCCTTGGGTGTTTCCTTTTGTTCTTTTTCTCCAGCCTTGGCTGCTGTCGTACCTGAGGAGGGCAGAAGAGATATGGCGAATCCTGACGCCACCGACAACTCCAGCGTCGTCTCCTTTACCACCGCAATCGTCGGTTGATGTGGTGCCTGATCT